ATTGGGATTTATATTTCATTTTACAAAAATCTTAAACTAAACTGAAAGAATTAATTTTTCTATGGCTTATTTGTGGTTGATCTTAATGATACTGTTGTATTAATATTGTCAATATGGTAAATACATATGCACAAATTGCAGCAATAGTATTGGTATACTTTCAACGTGGTGTTTTCAGATTATATTTAACTTTGTTCCAGAAATTCTTATTCATAATATGTCAGTGCTAGTTGGGAAATAAAATGGTTTACTGTGAAAACGAATATAGAACAGTGCTCCTCTCCTGTTCAAAACCCGAAGCCATTTGTGTATTTTCCACATTGCTATGGCAAGCAGTGTGAGTCTATTTTAAAGAAGGCCACTGTCTACTTTCCATAAAAAATTGGAACTTACGATACTCACCAAATTTCGATTTAAAGCTTTCGTGACTGCAGGGATTCATCTTCTTGGTTCTTTCGGTAAAGTCACGTAGAAGGGAAATAATAAAAATAAAACATAATCAAATAAAAATTATCACGACTTTTCGGCCACAACACAAGCAGCCGTCCATAGTCCCAATGGGACGCTGTCTTTCCGACAGCTCTGTTTCGTCACCTGAGGACGGCTGCTTGTGTTGTGGCCGAAACGTCGTGAGAATTCTTATTTGATGCTTTATTTTTATTATTTTATTATTTCCATTGTACGTGACTTTACCGAAAGAACCAAGAAGACACTCACCAACCCTAAATAGTTGGCATAAGGGTTTGCGAGTATGGTTTTAATAACGGTTTGCAAAGCAAAACTAAAAATATATATATGGCTGCAGTAAAATGGTTTAAACATCTGAATCATATCGCTTAATTCAACAGGGTTGGCAAGTACGTATGCCAACCCTCCACGGGGATTTGACCTTGGAACATTCCCAATCATGAACCACAGAGCCACCCAGCTACAGTGTAAGTGTGACAATGACGCCGTTGTAATGTTGAATGTTAAAATGTTAAAGATTTCGGGAAGCGGTACATTAATTTATAAAATTCTGCCTTATTTCAGATATTTCTAAGCTTCAGACGTGTCATCACCTGTTATACATGACTCATTGTGCATGATTAGCATTGTTTAAGAAGTTACTTGTTAAGCAGATAATATACCGATCTACCATTTAGCTTTCTTGAATAAATGAGACTAGACAGACGACACAAATGAAAATCACAGATAAAGAGCGTTAAACAGATTAGCCCACCGAGATTGTGCCAATGTGTAAAATCGCGGAGAATGGTGGACAAGGGCTGAATATTTTAAAATAGCGCTCTGCTACGCACCATTCGGACTGTATCTGTAACGACCCCAAACTCAGGGCCAGTGGCCCAAGCTGCATCCACACTGGGAGAGGGTCACTGAGCCTCTGCAGGCCAGAGCTAACATCAATATGCAGCAGGTCACCAGGCAGACAGCAGGGGCGACAAGATCACTAAAAAACAAGTGATCCTAAATCACCGCACGTGGAGACTGTGATGATACTCTACTTACTCTCACTCTCTCTCTGGCTCTTGCTATTACCCATTCGGCAACTGCTGTCGAATGCGATTTCTGACCAGCCATAATGGATTCATTTTTTTGACTTGCATTTTTTTTGTCAAGTTTGTTTTGTTTGCAGTCAAAGCATGTTGCGCATATAGAGACCGTGTCAGCAAATAGCCAATCGCACACTAATTAAGTATCCAAAAAGGGTCGTGGAGCATGAATAACGCATCAGTGACAAGTATTAAAAAAAACCAAGATGGTGCTCTTCAAACAACAGAAACATTTAATAATAATAAAGTACCATTACGGTCGTGTGAATGGCACCATATTTCCCGTGTCTAGTGACAGCAGGAGTCAAAAAAAGAAACATACAGTAAATAAGCTCCGCTTATAGATTTTACTTAAACCCATTTATTTGCACCACTATTAACATACTCACCAAAAGTAGGTTTTCTATGTCTGTCTCAACTCTACATAGTTTCCCTCCAAATTAATTGCCCATCTCACAGGCATCCGTTTCAATAACTACAATTAAAATTTACAAAAGACATGCGATAACGTGTTACCACCGTTCTTCTTGTAGAATTTCAGCTGGCCGATTGACTGTACGAAGGGTACAGTGCAGTTTTTTGGCACTTTTTTACTTCAGAGTGTTTTTATGTGAGTGCAAGTGGCCTTACAGTGGCACAAGTATCGATTCTTTCATTTGTGTGCCTTTGCCGAAAACACTTACCCAAAGCCTCGCATGGGTACTTTGATGGCTATTGACAAACCCTTCACTGTTAATCCACTGCAGATGGAAATTCACACATACACGATACCATAATATAATTGGCTTCCATTAGGGTGTTCAAGAAACAAAAGGAAGCGTGCTGGGGGGAGGCGGAGAGGGGGGGGGGGATTTTAAGCGTAGCTTTGCGTAATCAGGTTACACATATTCCATGGGAAAATGCATTGCACAGGATGCTGCAATTCCTTTATTCTTACAGAGGTGAGCAGAAATACGGCATTACCTTTAAAAGCACTTGACCTAACGCCACACGTTGTGCAAACATTATCCGAATGCATCGCGCGCAAAATGATTATGTGTTCCTGCAAAAAGTATGCAGCACTTAAGATGAATAATTTGCATGTTCAGGTGGGTTGTTTACAGAACATCCACACTTTAGTGCCACGGGGTCATACAGCGCAGAGTCGATCCATCATTGATAGTATAATTACGAGTACAGTTTAGGGGCCGTCCATAAATGACGTCACGCGATTTTGGACGATTTTTGACCCCCCCTCGTCACACGGCGTCACAAAAAGTCAGACCCCCCCCCCCCCCTCAAATATGACGTCACAAAGCTCTGCCCCCCCCCCCCTCCCAAAAATAAAACCTGCTTCAAATCGCTTTAAACTATTGTCATTGTAGTGCGTATTTAATGTGGCGTTGCACTCTGATGTTGTAGGAGAAAACATTTATTAAAAGTCTATTTGATTAAGTAGAACGTGTTGTCTATATTTATTTAAAGTTGCGCATTTTGATGTGACGTCATATTTCTTAAACCCCTCCCCCCCTCGTCACACATCGTCACAAATGTTTGACCCCCCCCCCCCCCTAGGTGCGTGACGTCATTTATGGACGGCCCCTCATTTCTTGGTGAAAAATGTGACCGAAAGTTAAAACAACCGGGACGCTAAGCCTACGCCTGGTGCAGCACTGCCCCGGTCAGCATAAGACCCAAGTGTCGTGGTTGTTAAGTGCCACCTAGTGACTGGGCAGGCGATGATTGGGTCAAACTTAACATCTCTTAATGAACGACGGCCAGTGCATCAGATCTTATTTATTCACGATGTACTTACAAAAAAATCAGCAGGCTACCCGCTGGATCTCCTCGCTGTTTCGAAGAACAAGTGTAACCTCAGGTCCTCGCTCATTTACCAGCTTCACATTCCTTATTGCCGTACAAATACTGGAGGAAGGTCCTTTGCTGTTGATGCCCCCAGGGTCTGGAATGCTATCGCCAATAAACTGCAATTTGGATCACTACCTGTAAGATCTGCACTCAAAACTGCTCTTGAGGAGCTGCCACTGCTATGCAGAGTGGCCTGAAATCAAATGCATCTCACCGGATGTCCGATGCATGTATATCGTTCATTGTTCAATTTGAATCACAGTACCTATGATCGCTGTTACATTGTTTTCATAGCTTTATTTTGGTGATTTCGAAAACGTATGGTTAAGCCATTTTTGTTTGATGAAGTACGGAGTTAGCCTGATAACTTTAATCTAAATTGACTTATGGTTGTTATTGTTTGGCTTGCATCCCACTGGGATTTTTGCACACAGCGTTCATATACGGTGCTTTTTTTCTGGAAGATCTTGCTGGTTTTTCCTGGATGTTTCTGTTGCGCGTCGTCACTTTAAGATGTTCTTTGTTCATGTTTTCGTTTGTTGCGGTTGCGGTTGCACCCGAGTCAAGAGCCGCATGGCTCACAGGGCTATACCTAATAAATAAAATAAAACTTAAAAATTTAAGGTGGGGAAAGCAGATGTGCTTCAAACATATTCACGCATTTGAAGCCAGCAGCGTTGTCTTACAGATCACTGCCCTGTGGTATAGTCAAGTTGTTGCTAGTGGACCTGATGAATGTCTTATCAAGAAGAGGAATGGGGGGGGGGGGACACAATGTTGGATCGAAGGGATCTGCGCGGCTCATAAAAGGGATGCGATATATCCCAAGTGGCACCAGGCGAGGATGGAGGAGCCACAGTCCACGATACATTCAAGCGAGATGCTTCAGATAGCTATAACCAGGTCACGCAGATTTCTCTTTGACCCCCCCCTTCCCCCTCCCCGTTTCCAAACTCCGCTATCCGTTCCCATCGCTTCCCTTTCAGACCCCCAGTGAATAGAGCCACCTGCTCGACGCGAAAAAATCTGGCTTTTTTTAAATGGCTTTTGTGTGCATGTATCTGATAGCAAGATTAAGTGTTGGCCCGAGCCGGCAAATGACATCGCATTTCCATCTACATTTAAGCAGAACAAGAAGCATGCTGATGTGGATTCAAGATAGGATACAAAAAAAAACAAAGAAATACATTGAGGCTTGTTTACGAATATAAAGCTCCATAATGAGTGAGAATTTGTTTGAAATTAGAGTAAATGTTGACGCATTTTCTTGCAGATTTTTAAGCATAATTGTATAAGGGCGCTCTCCCGAAGTTATCTGTTACTCTGCTTTCCTTTTATTGTGAAACATTTAAGATGGGTAACAAATGATTGAAGTTTTGGTGTGCCATAGCTAATTCTGCATACCTAAGGTGTGATAAAAGTAACAGTTGATGAAATGGCTTTTGAAAAGTCCAGAGCATATCTCACGATGATGATTAAGATAAAAATCATGAATGTTTTTTTGCCTTTTAAGGAATATAATGCATTTTCAAATGTTTGCCTTCAACTATGAACACTGCAAAGCAATCTGCATAACTCGTTGAAAAGAAAATACTTTATTTAAAACATGAAAAGGTACAAAAGGCATGTGGTAAAAATAATTATATTAACTGTATATTAAATAAAGATGAGTACTGTATATGCTTAGAAACAATTAAATTAAACATTTTAAACTGTGGCACTATGCGATTGACAGTGCATACTGCAAGTGATATCCGAACCAGTCCTGGCGCCCCACCAAACTCACACTGACACAGAGTGGTTAAGTATTGGTTAAGCATTGGTGAAGTATTGGTTTAACAACCACTATGGTGGACTCTGCTGGAGGGGGCCCTTGATCCAAAAGTGGATTGACAAAGGGCTGGAAATTATATTACTGTTACTATAAAATATTAACATCGATATAGTTATGGTACAATTTAACAACAAATCATGAGACAATCCACATGATCACTACTTTTGCACAAATAATAAAATACAGTGTATAATTTATTTCCATTAGCTTTTTAAATAAGCAAAGTGGTACAATTGTTTAATTTAAATCACCTCCATAACGTATAAAAAAATCTAATTCCAAGTATGCTACGTTTGTTAACGGTCTACAAGTATGCAATATTAATACCACAACGTACATCTTAAGGAATTGTGGTAATTTATCAACCATTAAACAGATAATTGATTGTCAATTTTAAATAATAATCCAGTCGGGCTGCTTTCTTAATAACACAATAACCTCATTCAACATGAAAACATTTGTTCAAATTAACACTAAAATACTAAAGTTTAAAATATTTTGTCTATTTTTTTTTTACAAAAGTCTTTGGTATGAAATCTTAAACTTAATTTACAGTTTTTACCCTAAATGGGTTACAGTATTTTGAAATTGTAAACCAATCATGTTTACAGCTTACTGATACGATACTTTGTGCCCGGCTTCATGTCAATGTAACTCAGCACCACGGGGATCAAGATTGATTATTGTAGCCAACCTTTGCTTGAGTTTCGTTTTTTAAACAGTGCATGAAACATTAAAACCGAAGTGCACATTTGCACGTGGCCCAATATGTTCCAGTGTTCATGCATACATTTAACTACCAGGACCAATGTTCCATCCCAAGAAATACATCTGTATTTCTAGTGCATGGTGGTGTGAGAGGACATATACAAGACATATATGCGAGGTGTAATACTCATTGTTGCATATATTCAGTCGTTGTGTGGTCATCGCGATCAACAGAATTTCAGTTGCTGTTTTTCAACACGGGCAGGATGTCAAAGTATTACGTAGAGTCTAACTCCAACCAATGGAATGGAAATAGTTGGCACAGGGACCTGGTGCAAGGAATGAAATGGAGCCCCCAGTTCAATATCCTTCTCCTCATTAACTTGGCTCTCTGGCCCCGTGGGCCGCAGTGCAGCAGTCGCACCGCCTGTTCAACTGTAACAGGGGTCCTCCCTGCTGTCTTCTCTCAGCATCGAGTAGTTGCAGGGATCGCCTTGCCGAACGTGGAAAAAGTGAGAGGGCCCTGGTGGATGGCGGGCAGGCCCAGCTCCCTCGGCACGGCCACAGCGGCGGCCGAGTGGAGCCCCAGAGGCAGCAGGGTTGGCCTGGTAGTCCCAACAGCCTGGGTGGCCACAAGAGGAGGGGCAGGGCCAGTGTGCGGAAGGCACGAGGAATGTCCCATTGCCGGTAGGTTGCATTCAGTCGTCCAGGGAGGCACTTCTGTAAAGAAGAAGAAAACACAAGAGTGCCATTTGTATAAGTTGTTAATCATTGTCCTGCATTAACCAGTTAAGAGACAACTGCGAGTTATACTGCTGCATATGTTGCGGTATAACTCTCAGTTCAAAGAAGAAACATTCAGTGAAATGTTGGACTTCGTGAGTTAATTCATCTACCATTGTGACTTAATTTAAGATTTGAAGTTTTCGTGACTGCAAGGATTCAAACTCTTTGGTTTTTTCGGTAAAGTCACGTAGGTAAAAAATAAATAAATGAAAAAACAACTAAATGAAATCACTTTGAATTCACTGTGAATTTGGCTGTAACGGTTCCACCTGAAGACGGAAGCTTGTGTTGCCTCCGAAACGTCGTGATTTAATTTAGTTGTTTTTTTATTTATTTATTTTTTACCTACGTGACTTTACCGAAAAATAACAGAGAACATTGTGACTTATTTCACCTTCCACAGTTGCGGCGTGGCATTTTTTGTTACTTATTTAGCTGTGAGTAATTTGGGATTTGCACTATGAAATTGGCGCTGACTGGTTTACACTTACTAATCATTTTATGGGGCCTTTGATGTCCACTTGACAGAGTATGATGCGCTTTTGTAATTCTCCACAGAAATTACCAAGCATCTGTGGGAATCCGACCATGAAAGCTGGCTTAGCGGCATGCATGCTAATAATTAGCCAATTCAGCAGCCAATTCGAAGAGATAAGGGTGGCTCCAAACTAGTTTACATGATGCTGAACGATGTGATCAATGCCCACACATATCTGTGTGCTGTGCTTTGAATTTGGATAGTATGGATATTCTGAGAAGAGGATATTCATGCAGAGAGGTTAACATTTTAACAAAAAATATATAGATATTAATATTAGGGCACTTATTTTGTTCCACAGTAAAAAGTTAAGACTTCAAAGTCACCCTTAAAGTTAGTCAAACTTTTTAAACATTTCACGAACTCCAAATGTCTCAAATATTCCCGTCATGCTTATAAATGCATAGGTGTATACGTGTAGTTATGTGCACTTTTTTGAAATGTAGGTCACAACATATTTGAGAATGAGACCCTAAGAAGGCTTGTTTATCAATCTCACCCAGTGCACTGATCATCGTATATGAATAAGAGGTCTTTTGCTCGGATATACTGTTTTGAAAGAGTGCATATTAAGTTCAGATTCGAGCAATCTCAAAAAGATTAGCCACGCTTATGGCCCATTATTATTGAGATACCCCGGTCCATAGCCCATATACAGTAAGCACATATCATATACTTTAGATGCAAGCATGGATTTCGTTGTGTGGATTGGAGCATGCTTGTGTTTGCCTTTGCATATCATTACATCTCCATCAGGCAACTTATCACCGAGGTCTGTCCCGTGGCCTCCTGCTAGCAAACCTTCGACACTGCAACAGATAGCCTCAAAGTGCACCTAGCCTGGCACAAAGCGCCGTGGTGACATCACCGCCCACTTAGTGGCATCTGTTTGTTGTTGTTGTTGTTTGTGTCCACACGCAGGCCTCACCTGCATGCTCAGGCCCTGGGAGCGACAGAGTGAGGGAGCCCAGGGGAGAATGGCGACCGGGCTCCGAGTCGCACTCCTCCGTGTCACTGTCACCTCGTCCGCTGTCTTTCAGGCTCTGTCCGTCCACCTCCGCACACCTGAGTGGTGACACACAAAGCACCGCTCCGCCTGTCAGCTCTCTCTCATCCAACGTGCAATGATGATTTTATTTGCATTTGTACCCGAGTCGTTACGCCTCCCCTCGTAAGTGAATGTGAATGCAGTTGATTTACCTAATTCGTCGGGGATACTTGTTTCCTCTGAAGCTTGGTCTTGGACGGTACTTTCCCTGCCTGAGGAGTGTCAAGATTTGCGAGACCTGCAGTACATCAAAAGACAAACCACACAAACAAACATACACACACGCATTAACTTACTGCATCTGGCATGTACCAGCTCACAAACAAATTGTCAATTTTGTTTTTATATTTTTTTGTTTCAATGAAGTTGCAAATGTAACGCAGTCATTAAGAGCAGCGTGGACATATTTTTGTTTAAAATCGCCTCTTAAAGGGACTGCTCTAGCAGAGACTCGCATGCCACCAGTGGCGTGAGCAAGCAATTGCAGCACTGCACCTTAACCTTTCAACAGTGTGCATAACGGTGCCTGATTTAATTATTGGCGTTTGGGTTGTACCTCGACGTTGTCTTGTGAAGGGGTCGCTGGCTCAGGTTCAGTGAAGCCCTCTGAAGAGTGCTGAGACGGGGTGAGGCTATCCCTGGGCCGGACCTCTGCGTCGTTCCTCCGGCCCCGAGCAGAGTCCGGCACGGTGCCGTGTGGCCCAAACACCGTGCTGACGGCCAGGGGCTCTTCGACATCTCCCTCGGCAAGCTGCCCCGCTGCCTCGCTGCTCAGCACCACAATGTCGCGCTTGTTCACGCCCGTCCTCGTCCCCTTCCTCGTGTCCCCATCGCTTGTCCCCTCCTCCACGCGGGCGAGCCGCTGAGAGCCGTGCGACGGCGCCTCCGCCTCCACCGACGTCTCGGACGACGCTGTCGAGTGGCCGCGTCTCCTGTTGTCCTCGTCCTTGCCTTCGTGTGCCGCTGCCCCGCAGGAGCTCGACTTGGTGCTGGCGACAAGCACCACGGCGGCGAGCGTGAGGGCGCAAGCGGCGCCCAGAGCCATCACGGCCAGCATGGACGCGTCCAGCGGTTGCGTCTCGTCGGCCCCATCGTCGCCGTCCGGAGCGGAGCCGCCAAACGCTTCGTCAAGCCCAGAGAGTTTGTCGTTGTTGTTGTTGTTTTCGCTCGCTCCGTGGGCACCCACTCGGATCTCGATGACGGCGGTCGCTGAGAGAGCTGGAGAGCCCCTGTCCCTGACCATCACCATCAGGGTGTGCCGCATCACGTCGGTGACCGAGGCAGCATTGGTGAAGATCTCACCTCCCAGGCGGTTGATGCGGAATAGATTTCGCTCGTTGCCTTGCACGATGCGATAGCTGAGCTCGCCGTTTACTTCAGAGTCCGAATCTCTGGCCCGCACCACCGTGACCAGGTACCCGAGCCCCGCGTCCCTGGGCAGCCGCACAACGCCCGTGCCGTTGCGCAGCGGGGGGTGCGTGACGACCGGCGCGTTGTCGTTCTCGTCCACAATCCTCACTGACACGGTGGCATTGGTGACGAGCGGGGGCACGCCGTCATCCCTGGCCTGCACTTGAAAAGTGAGGCTTGTCATCGCTTCATAGTCAAGGGGCCTCAGCGCGTAGATTGCGCCACTCGACGGGTTGATGGACACGTAGGTGGACACGGACGCTCCCGCCACCTCCGACTCGACCACGTTGTATGCGATCATGCCGTTGTGTTCGGCATCGGCGTCCCACGCCGTCACCGTCGTCACGTAGGCGCCGGGGGTGTTGTTCTCCAGCAGCGACGCCTCGTACGTGGAGCGATGAAAGCGCGGCTCGTTGTCGTTCTCGTCCAGCAGGCGCACGGTGAACTGTCGGGCCGCCACTCGCGGCGGAGTCCCTCCGTCCACCGCCTCCAGCACCAAGAAGTAGTCGGCCATCTCCTCGCGGTCCAGGCTCGTGTTGGTCACCACCACGTAGTCGTCGCGGTAGGGCAGCAGCTTGAAGTGCGGGTGTCCGCGCAGGTGGCATGCCACGAGGCCGTTCTTGGCAGAGTCGATGTCCGAGACAGTCACGAGTCCAACAAAGCTCTCATAAGCCGCAGCCTCGCTCACAAACACAGTGTCCCCCCTGGACTGCATGATGAAGTCCAGCTTGATCTCGGGCTCATTGTCGTTGATGTCCTCCACGTGCACGAGCACTTTGCAGTGAGCTGGAATGGAGCTGGGACCCATGTCTCGCGCCTGGATGGATATTTCGTATTCCGAGTTGAGCTCGTGATCCAGCTGGCCCTTGAGGGACAGCTTTCCCGTCTTGGGGTCCAGTTGGAACAGACGTCGCACCTCGGCCTCCACGGGACTGCTGAAGGAGTACACCACCTCGCCGTTCGGTCCTTCGTCCACGTCGGTGGCGTTGAGCGTGAGGAGGACGGTCCCAGGCGTGGCATCTTCCCTCACGGTCACGTTGCACGAAGGCTGTGCGAACACGGGCGAGTTGTCATTGGAGTCGAGCACGGTGATCCGCACGAGGGTCGTCCCTGACCTCGGCGGGTCACCACCGTCCCATGCCGTCAGCTGCAGCGTGTACTCTCCCTCCTGCTCACGGTCCAGCCTGCTCTTCACCATGAGCTCCGCGTACTTGGCGCCGTCGGTGCGTGCCCGCAGCGCCAGTCCGAAGCGCTCGTTCTCGTCAAGGTGATAGGCGCGCAGTGCGTTACCTCCCACGTCCAGGTCACGGGCGCCTTCCAGGGGAACCCTGGTGCCCACCGAGACGCTCTCGGAGATCTCCACGTGCATCTCCGAGCGGGCGAAGTCAGGCGCGTGGTCGTTGATGTCCAGCACCTCGACCTCCACGTGCACCAGCTGGAAGAGGTCTCGGGGCAGCGTGCAGAGCACGTCGAAGCGGATGACGCAGGAGGGCGCCTGCCCGCACTGCTGCTCCCTGTCGATGACCTCGCGAGCGCTCACCGTCCCCTCGACCTCTTCCACGTGCACCAGGGAGAAGTCGTCTCGCCGCATGAGACGGAAGTGACGGGACGGGTGCTCGGCCACGCGGCCCCGCAGGTCGTCGGAGAGGCGGCCCACGAGGGTGCCCGCGGGCTGCTCCTCGTACAGGGCGTACTTGACGGTGATCGCAGTTGCGCCCAGGCACATGTGGAGCAGCAGCAGCAGCAGCGAGAGCGCCTCTCTGCGCGTCGTTGGCTCCATTGTTGTTGTTGGTGGTGGCAGCAGCTGCACGCTGATCGCTCCCGGCGTCGCCGCCGCGGCTGCTGAACTTGGGTTACGTTCAACGCCAGCGGGTTCAGCTGCGTCTCCAACTTTGTTGAGGCTAATTATCTACCAGCTCAACTAAAATTATATTTCATGAAAAACAAAAAAATTGGATGATGATAAAAAAAATGTTTTTAACTTAAAATATAAAAGTCCACTGCAGTCATGTATTTGTTGTATTTTTTGCTTGACTACTGTTATCAAACATTTCCAATAAATGAAGCCGTTTAAAGTACAACTATTACTCGCAGTTCAGAGTGCGGATCTCTTTCTATTGTTGAAAGTTGTTGCGCGATGAATGCATCAAGCGTGCTCCCTCTGCAATGATCATGTTACGCTATGGAGAGATCCCAGGCGAGGAGCAACTGGAATTCCGCTGCACTATCTCCTCTCCTCCCCTGAGGCTGCCCTGCAAACAGCTCAACCACTTTCACTTTCCCAATCGAGTGAAACAAAAGTGACACGAGCCAGCGGTGTGGGCTGCAAAGGGGAGCGGCGCCTTGCGTCGGAGTTTGACCACAAATGCCAAAAACACTTCTTTATCCTTACAACTTTAGACTCTCACTCGGCCAATGCACTGTTGTGTCCCTTAACCAATCACGACGCACCCAAAACCCCTTCCCCACTTTCTGAGAAGAATTCCTCCCGTCCTGCCCCCCCACTCCCCAACTTATTCATCAATGCTTTCCCGCCCACCCGAGCCGGTCTTCCCCCCCACCCACCCCCCTCTATACAGACTGGTGAATGGAGGGGTGCCTTTTGTCTGGAACTATTTTCATATTTTAAATGAAATGACACAGTGCGGCGACTACCGCTGCTGTGTAACATGTGGAAAGTGTGTCATGTACAGTATTGTTGAAAAAGATTACAGTGATGTGGAGCCTGAATATGCATACCATGTGCGCGGCTCTATGGGTTGTTGTTGTTTTACCTTCAGATGACCCCAAATATTGTGCTGTTGCACCATTGCTGGTTTCGCTTGATGTCAATTCTGAAATGCGTATCTGCATGCGCAGGTAAAGAAGGAAATATTCCATTACAATTTATAAATGTATTACAATTAAAACTAAAAAAAAGTTCACATCTCTTACTTCAATGGAAAGCCGCAACAATCACTAGAAATGTAAGCAAATAAAGTAATGCACGAATTTCTTAAGTAAAATATTTTTTGTCTATTGCCCGTACCTCAATCTGAGTAAGACTCCTGTCCTGGAACTTTCATGTATTCGTAAAAGTGTTTGTAAAAAAAAAAGGTTCCATGTACTCTTGATGTCATTTAGCACTTTTCTTTTCTGGGTGTGATATTGCGGTTAGTTTTCGTCGATTTTTGTTTTACACAAAGCGCGGGACAAGCGCGTCGCAAATCAGATGATAAAGTGTCTCATTAATCAACTGCGTCTGGTTGCAGTGCGATGAAGCACAAAGGATAGCTGGCCATGCCATAGTCCTGGACTGCGCCGTTGCTGAGATTCGGGTTTTGGGTGTAGATGGGGTGGAAGGAGGCCAAGAGAAAGGGGGGGGGGGGTAAGGCGCACCGTCTGTCTCTAATGGAAGCGTGCCTTTTGCTTAGGCAACACTACTGCACAGGAGCATCGCCATTGAAAGGCAACAGAGCGGGAAAAATTAGTGGCAGGAGGCTGGGCTGGGGGTAGAGGCGTGAATAGAGAAGGGTGTTTGGAGGTAGGGGGGGTTGGCACACTTCGAACCATCTGCCGCGCGTTGGCTTTTGGTGGAGGGAACGTGCAGAGATTTGCATTAAAATTGGTAGCGTTTGGTGTGTGAATTCACGCATGAACTAAGCCAGTTACCGAACAATAAACATGCAGGATTTTTTTTTTTACTTTGCGAAAGGGATTAAATCATAAATCTCTAATTTAAAAAAATCTTATTTTCACAAACGTTTTCCTTAAGGCACAACGATAGTGTACTTGATTTGGATCTGGTTCAAAACTCAGCACGAATCTGTGCAACAGATGGCTTTTTTTGTGTACACAAAGCTCATTGGTAAGTGAGGCCAAAACGGCCATATAAAAGCATTGGTTTCAAAAGACCCAGTGTGAAAATAATCATTAAATGGGCATTTTTGGGGGGAAATCCTGCCAGGGCTAATGAAAGCGTGTTTACAGGTAGTTAATGGTTGCTTGAAATTGGTTAGTAAAGTCTTACTAAGTTACACTTAAAACGTGTTCTTGTTTAATTAATTACGCCATTTCAGAATCTTTCAAAGCAAAGAAAAAACTTGGAAAGTTTGTTTTGCTGCAGGCAACACAAGGGCTTCAGGCCCTAAAGCTGGAAAAATTACTTTAGAAGCTATTTTTGAAATATATAGCCGTATTTTTTAAATAAATAATTTACATCCCCCTTTGGCAATCTACTGAAAAGTGAAGGCCATGGGGGTTATGTTGGACTATTCCTGACTCCACTGATATGGGTTTAAGGGTTGTTGATCCATGACTAGTTCAGCAGATATTACTCGCCACTGATGGTGGGCCTCAACCGGGAATTGCACTCAGACGGCCGGGTTATTCGCGCACTGCACTAACCACAACGCGACGACTGCCAGCCCTGTTTTTGTGTAACTATTGTTTGCATTCACATATTCTAGATGCGATTCTCGATTGGGACTTTTTTATTGACCAGTATATTGAGGCAATAATCCAAAAGAGAAGAACAAAACACGCTATTTTATTTTATGAGAATTTGGACAATGTTGTAACATGTTTATTGCTTGGTGCTTTTATCACCCCTGTTCCCTGACGTGGTCGATGGATATTATGTGCAATCGTGTTTTCTTGCATTTGACATGACTTTCCTTCATTGCTCGACAGTTACAACCTTCAATACCTCCTTCAACAGATCCAGCGTCTGGAGATGCGGTTCAATTTAGACGCTGTATATATCCCAGTTATGTTGTATTGTATTTAAAGCATAAACCATAACAACAATGGATTTGTATTTGCCAAATCTGAGAATTGTTTTTGTCACCGAGAGTTCCTCAATTGTGCGAATGGGCAGCAACAACTCACGCTGACATGAAGGGACAATAATTTTTTTTTTAATCGCCGTAAATATTCCCGCTACCCCCATCCTAGATCTTCGTCTCTCTTAGAATGCGCGTTTGTATAGCATGCCATAATCAGTGGCATGTGCACTCTGAAGTCGTGGGCACAGACAAGGAATTGTTAGACACGTGTGACTCCCCAGTCTAGATCAACTCTAACCTAGCCCTATATTCTGCATAGAAATGCACAGCGTGCCTTCTTTGTGTCGGTGACACCAATGCCTGGCGCATCCCCCATCCTTTCTCCTCTGGCATCCCGCACTGACTAGCACATTTTATATATATTTTTTAATTCTTTAGAAAAAAAAGCTCTTTGTCCTGGGGAGCACCATGTCTACCCGTGTCGTTATCGGAAAGCGGAATGCTAGGAGAATATTAGATCGTGTCAAGAGGCATCTTTGGCAATTGCACGAGTATTTTTTTCGAGACATGCTGCCTCCTGGCTTGGGTAAGATGTTATTTCCCCATTTTAACGTCGCAAAAACAATAGAGAATATGTAATGGCTTTATTTACATTGTTTACTGTTTGTAATAAATTGGGTTAAGAAACTACAATTATTGTTCAATGGACACCATAGAGAAAATATAACATAACATGTATACCCAGGGAAGTGTTTAAGGGTGTACTGGGATGAAAATTATGAAATCATGAAACAAACAGCAGGATAGAGTGTATTTAGAAACCGAATGTGATATAAAGAAAGTTCCCAATGAGTGCATATTACAAACTGATCAGACACATTCAGACTGACATCCTGAAATACGTGTGGAGAGACACATGCCTTGAATTAAATCGAGTTAAAAAAAAGAGGAACCAGACATGTTCAATCTTGATTTGAAGCTTTCGTGACTTTACCGAAAGAACCAAAAACCAGACGAGTTAATAACGTCATACTGACTGCTGCGAAAAGTTTAACTTAACGAGACACATCGCTGAAAATGTTTCGAGCAAATGAAATTCAACGTAACGATGGAATGGCAGCCACAGGACCGAACACAAAATAGGACAACCACCAAGGGAGATGGGGCGATGGTGGCATCAATAAGCAATGGGGGAAGGGAAATGTGTTGAGGCCCGAATCCAGCAGTGGATAATATAGAAATCTATTGATGACGATTCTGAAAAAGTATCAAGAACAAAACATTGCACTGAAGATGGTAATTTTGCTTTGAAAAGGAAAAGAGATGATTATGTTCATAATTGCAAACGTTAATGAGGATGTAGACCAGTCATTTTCATTGCCAACGAATGGAGAAAATGCTCCCGAATCGCAGAGTTCTTAATAATTTAACGTGGGAATGAATGTTGGAGTGAATAAACAGGTAAATTGATGAACAGAAGTTAATATTGTTCTTGGATTTTTTGTCTTATTCTCTATATTTCATTTACACCCCCAGCACAAGAATGTCTTGATCCATATTTAATGGTCTAATATTTTTTTTAGGATTTCTCTAATCCATGCCATATGATATTCCACGCTTTAAATTTTCATTTAATTTATAATTATTTCTTTCATTTTCTGTGCAAACACGGAAAGCAAAGGTTATCAGCAGAGCAAACATTGCTCGCAGTAATTCAAAGGCTTGTTCAATAATTTAATACACTCAAAAATGTTGATCCAACCATCTTTCCGAGAATGTCCCCCCCCCCCCACCACCACTTTCCTTACAGACGTTACAAGCGTTTATGTATGCCAGGTAAGGGGCAGCTGGATTAAGTTTAAAAAAAAAGAGCAATGGTAAAAGAATTAGGATGGCTTAAGGAGATAAAGCTTTTGTTGGCACGCGTGCATCAGGGAACTGTGAAACGCCAACCAATGCCGTGGAAAACCCCGTGACCCTGGCGCACATTTCAACACATGGCAGCGCATAGAGAGAAACTTAGGTCCTTTGTGTGAGAATGCATAGGGAGCCAGACGGGGGTGTGGACAGATGGTGTTGGTGTCGCAATGCCAAGACAGCACCAATGAGATTGCATTGGGGCTTGATTTGGGGGTGGGTTCCCTGTTTTTTTCTCTCTCTCTCTCAAGAGGCGAGTTGCAGCTGTCGTTTGTAGATTGATCAGCTTACAGCCTAAGAAGAATACAAAAAAAAGCTGTAGACTTACTGATGCTCAATTTCAATTTGAAGCTATACAGCCTAGTTGGGAGCAGTTTGGAAATGGGCAGCTGTGGATTTCAAACTGCACAGAGGCCACAACGCTACTTGTTGAGTGATATTGTTGCTGATAATATAGGTAATCTTAAGCCATTACTATAGCAAAACTGGCATTAGTCTTTGGCCAATGTTAAACTTTACCAGAATATTTGTCAGAAACATTTTGTTAAATTTTTTGTGGTCACAATCGTGCTTAAAGGTGCATATTCATAGGTTATTTCATGTCCAAATAATTAAACCACAAACTATAGTATACAGAAACGTTGCTATTGTATTCTGCACGTGTATTTTCCTACCGCATAAAACGACGACTAAATGTAAAACGGTGCAGTCGTTAAAGAAGTTTGAAGTGATTGTAAGGCCAATCGAGAAGGTGATGTTACGATGAGCACTTGCACTCCATTTGGTAACGACCCGTTAGGAGGGGGCTGACGAACGCGTTGTTTTTGTTGTTGTTTTTGTTGTTGTTTTCTCCTGCACATTGTTGGGTAGCTGATCACATTTCTGCGGTGGTTCGCTGTTTGTTGGCAAGGCAAATTATGTCTCACTCATATGGCGCAGGCGGGTTTCATTCTCTAGAGCAGTTGACCTTTCACAGCCAGTAGGTTTACTCAGTGTTCTGAGGTTGAAATGTCACGTCGGCGTTTGAACAATATTCTACCCTGCTGCCGGAGACTTGAAGTTTCTGTGATTAACATTGTTTAATTACGTGATGAACTTTACAATGTTTTGCAGTAATATACAATGTATCATCTTAAATCAAACAGAAATTGA